AAGATAATTAACATCATAAAAAATCACTTGATTATCGGCAACAGCTTTACTGTCAAACACTTCTGTCGGAATATATTTTAAAGATAAATCAATTCCTCATTGTTTGGCTTTTTCTTGTGTTTTTGGAAACAAACCCATTTCATATTCAAAAGCTAAAATATCTAATTTAGTTATTTGATTCGAAACACATTCTTGAATTACTTTTTCCGCAAAATCTTTTCCGACGGGATAAGATACGGAACCAATTGCAATTACACGATTTAATTTTTTGCCTACTAAAGTTTTAAAATTATTTAAGGGTTTTGCTTGATAAGCATCAAGAACAAGTTTTATAAACTTTTTCTCTTTTTGTAAAAGTTGTTGTTGTTTAATTTCCTGACTTAAAAAAGGATTCAATCCTAGAAAATGCTGTCGTTCATATTTTCCTAAATTAATGACTTCAAAAGCACGAAAATTTTTATAATTATTTTTTAACTCCCGTTGTACATCAATCATTCTTTTTCGACTTGTATGAATCGCGAATTTTCCTAAATCTGCGCCGATTCATTTTCGTTCTAATTTTTCTGCTACGGCTATTGTTGTCCCAGAACCACAAAAAAAATCAGCCACCAAATCACCCTTATTTGAAGAAGCTTTAATAATAACATCAATTAGAGATTCTGGTTTTTGTGTCGGATATCCGAGTCTTTCTTTCGCTTGTGAATTAACTATAGGTATTTCTCAAACATCTTCTCTAAGCTTACCAGAAACATGCATTTTCACTATTCTACCAAAAGAAATATTTTTTCTTTTGGCTTGTTGAATAGTTCCTTCTGAATAAGGAATTCTTACTTTATCAACATTAAAAATGTAATTTTCTTTATCTTTTACATATCAAAATATACTATCGTGTTTCTTTTTGAAGCTCGTTTTATTTGTTCCCGATGCATCTTTATAAAATCAAATAATTTCATTGCGAAAATTTTCTTTTCCAAATATCTCATCTAAAATAAGTCGCATGTACCCGCTCACTCGTCAATCACAATGAACATAAATGCTACCGTCATCTGTTAATAATTCTTTCATTATTTTTAATCGTTCATAAATCATTGAAACATAACTATTTGCCCCGTTTCCTCAAGTGTCGCTATAAGCTTTTTTTTCAATTACATTCGCTTTTTTTGTTAATGAATTGGAGCCGATTTTTATTTGCATTGAAAAATCGGCTCCCACATCAAATGGCGGATCAATATAAATTAACTTTATTCCGCCTTGTTTTTGTATTTTTTGAGAAATTTCGCCTGATTTTAGACTGGATAAAATTAGTTTATTATCACCTCAAATTAACTTATTTATTCAACCGGTTTTTTGACGACCGCGATCATCGAACGAGAAACCTCGTTGAAAATTTTCTGAATNGGGGGGGGGGTATTTTCGTGCGGTTCGTCAATTATTTCTAATGTTTGAAAAGGCAATGATACTTTTGTTGTTTCGGCAGTTTTTCCCTTCCAAACTAATTCAACTTCTTTTTTATCACCGAAAAGTAAAAAACGATATTTTTCCGAAAGGGGGCGATTATTCTTTAAACATTCAATAATGTTTATTTTTTCTTTATCACTTAAATTTATTTTATTCATATTTTAATTTAATAATTATTTTAACTTTGTTTTTCGAAATAATACAAAACAAAACCTTATTTTAACTTTTAATTTGCCTGTTTTTTTAGAATAACTTTTATCAAATTTTGTAAAACTTAATAAATAAAAGAAACTTTTGGATTGAATACTTTATAACCTTAGAATTCTCACATATCAAAATCATGTTATATGCGTTTTATGATATGGAAATCTCATTGAAGATTGACTTCGGGCTTGGTTGGGTTATAAGTTCTTTTTTTTTAACTAATTAATAATTAGTAATGATGCTTTTGTAACACATACAGATACATAAATTTAGCTTATATATAGTTGAAAAACAATTTATATTAATACAAAAGTCAAATAAATACTACAATTAAACTATAAAAATTTTATCTAAAAATTTTTTATATATTAATTAATGGAAAAAAATATTGTTTATTTAATATAAAGGCATATATTTCCATCTAATGCTGTTGACTCGCCTATTCATTCATTTTTATCTATTTCTCTTAGTTCTTTTACTGAAATAAAATTAACTCATATTCAATAAAGTGGATTTAATTTGGTGTTGTCTTGCCCTCGCATTAATAAGATATATGATTTTTTAGAAAAATTAAAAGAACAAGCTACATAAAAAAGTTTTTTATCAGCTAATTCTTGTTTTTTGAGATTTGTGAAATATTTTCTTAAAAAAGAATTTTCTCCAATTTTGCATATTCTATCCAAAAAAAACTTACCATTTTCAGGCATAAATGAACCTGTTTTTTTACTAATTGGCCAATTTTTGATTGATTCTGTATTTTTTACAACAAGTTCAAAAAATTGGCAAACTAAATTAATTGCTTCTTTTCCTCTATTTTTAATTTTTTTTATTTTGTCGTTTTTCTTATTTACTTTTTTTATAATTTCGTAATGTCCATCTCAAAAATCGATATTTGGCTTTTCTTTGATAACATTAAAAAATTCTTCAATAAATTTTGTAAGTTGACATTTTAATTTTGTAAACATTCAATTTTGAAATTGTTCTTTTAAATTTAAATCTGCTGGTGGTTTTATAAGATGATGCAAACCAATAAAGTGATAAAAACTTTTGACATCAAAAGTAAAATTATATGGAAATTTTTGCGTAGGTAAAAATATTCGATATTTATCAAGAAAATTATATAATTTTATTATTTGATGTGCTCTTAAAAATATAATATGAAAATTTTTAATCATAGAATCAAATTTTTTGTCCGTATTATTCGTTTTTTGGTTCATTTTTAGCAATGTTGCCGTATTAATAGTGGTTTTTGACATAAAAGAATTATCTTATATTATAATAAATAAAAAAAAATAAAAATTTTTCGCAAAAATATTTTTCAATTATTGAAAATATATTGTGTATTTAATAAATATAAAACTCAATGAAAATATAGAATAGTTAATATATTTTTATATAAAAATAGTAAAACATCTATTACAAAGATTTTAGTAATTAAATTTTAGACAAAAAAATTTATTAATACATAATTATTTATTAAAAAATTATTATTTTCGTAATACGAAAACTTAATAAAAAAAATGAAAAAAAATAAAATTGAAATAATTAAACAATTTTTATAAATATGCATACACAGTATTAAATTGAAATAAAATTGGAACGGAGAATTATCCAATAAATTTATTTTTCGAAAATAACAAAAATGAAAAATTGAATTTTAATTTCTTTTTTTGCTCTTAATTCAAAAATATAATCCTCCAAAAATAATGAAAAATCCTAATGCTCCGCCGGCGATTCCCATCGCCATAAAAACAGTTAATCCAGAATTCGAAATGGCAAAAAAGTCAAAATTTAAAAGAGATGTCAAAGTCGCGAAGGGCAAATCAACCAAGCTATCGGCAATTAATTGACCTTCAGTATTAAAATTATTCAAAGTCAATCCCGGAGGCAAAGTTATGTCAATTCTTTCGGGAACGTTGTTAATATTATTTCGTATCGCTTCTCGAAAATTAGTATATAACGGACTCTTATTTCATATGGTGACCGTATTCAGACGGTGTTTTTCCGTAATCACCGTATCAAAATAAATGCTGGGAAATTGACGCATTCAAATTAAAAAATTTATCAAATAACGAATGCGACTCGCTAAATCATCGGCCGGTGGAGAAGTCGTTAACAAATCGAGCGAAAGAGAAGTTAATGATCCGTCATAAGCAAATGAATTCGAATTTAAACGGCCCGGAAATTCAAATTCATCTGGATAATTAACGGGTTTAGCGATTAACAGTTTATAATTAGCGATAATTTGTTTGGGAGATAATGAAGAATCCGAAAAAGTGTTTCATTCGGTTTGCATTTGTTTAAGTTTGTGCGTAATAATTTCCGTTTCGAGCAATAATTTTTCCGGAGCATCTCAATGCATTCATCGTTCCACTAATTGCAGAGCAAGCAGAGAGGTGGCGTCATTTAATGATTCGGAAATTAAATTCAGATTTCCTTCACTATCAAAATCGTTGATCGATAAACTATGCGGAAAGAAAAAAGCCAAAGGATAAGCAATAAAATCATTGGGATTGGCAAAATAAGTTTTTATTGCTCGTCTTTTTTGAATATAAGCCGTTGACTCTCCATTTCAAAGTGCGAACAAATAATTTTTATAACTTAAAATTCAAGATTCCCGATGAAGAGCAGAATCCAATTGTTCGGCTCAACTTTGAAAACGAGCTAATTTGAAGATCGTATTAAATTTGGATTGTGTCAAAGCGTGAGCATAAAGTTTTCCGTTGAGACGAAAAGCCGAAGTAATTTTTTCAATCGTATTGAGTTCAGTTGGAAGTTCGAATTGAGTAGGATAATGAGACAGCTCAATGTTTAAGTCTAAATAATCCCGCATTAAAGCAATTTTTTCTGAATTATTCGCCGAATTTCAAGAACTTCGAATTAAGGCGGCATAATCATTTACAATTTCAAGAATAGAAAAATTATTTGCTCATTCTAAAAAAGAATGCAGTTGATCGAAAGTTTGTCAATAATTTCCCGCCGCAAAATAATCAAAATTATGAACTTCAGCATCATTCATAACTACTCCATGTTCCGCATGTGAACCGATTTCAAATCAATCCATTGTAATTCGTCCTTGAGAATCAATTTCCGGCACAAGAGCGGGGCGATGTCCTGAACTAACAGCGGGAAAAATAAGACTTATTCGTTGTGCTTCATAGTGAGGGTTTGTATTTCATTCATTTTTAATGGCATCTCGATAATTGTTTCATAAAACAATTTTTTCAACTTTATCATTTTGAGTTGGATATGATTGAAGATTTAACATTCATTCTATAAAAAATTGTAGATTGATTTCCAATGTATTTTCATTCGAAAATCATTGATTGACATCTAACTCTCCATTTTCGTCAAAGTCATTTCATGTGAGCGTTACTGCGCCCTGGCTCGTTCCTATACTGGGAAAATCTAATAAAACATTTGGATTCGGCGGTAATCAAGTAAGATGTTTCGCTCTTTGCACAACTAAGGGATAAATATGACGAGACTCGGTTTCACTGGGCGGATGAGCATTTCAATAATTATGAAGTCAATTTTTAAGTTCTTCAAGACGCTCTTTTTTCGCGTCTAAGGGAAAAATATGAGCAATCAAAATCGCTAATTTAGACTTAAAATTTTCCGTTTTCGCGACTGTGTTCAATGGTACATGAAGATTTTGTTGATGCGATAAAGTTCCATCCGAATTGGTTAAAAAATATGTATAGGGAAGCGCCATATCTAAATAACGAAAAAAGTCAGGAGCATCGGGCAACATAAAAATATTTAAATATGTTAATCATCAATTCTGACCTCGTAAATTGCTATTTCATAAGTCTATTGCCGAATAAATATTTAACGGCATTACAATTGCTCGATCAACATTTAAAAGTCTCGCTCATATTCGCAACCGTTTGGCATTACTTAAGCTGACATTGGAGCTTAAGTGATTCCATTCAATCGTGTCAATTGGATGTAATAGAAAGCCCTCATGATTAAAAAAACGTATATTTAATCCATTCGGTAATTGATAAGTAAAATCTGTGCTGATCGTTCGGTAATTATAATACATACCCATAGCATTTCGTTTATGCTGATAGGCCCTATTATTGTTTCATTCATCGATTAAATGTCGATAATATACATAGGGCAAATTAACCAAGCTATTTTGTAATTCGCCTTCTCTTTCTTGTATTCCTACAACTTTATCCAAAATACTATAACGAAAGTCTCAAACATTTATATTTGCCCCAACACGATGGGTTCATCCCTCATTTAAATTAGGGCACATTGATCCGCTGGGGCAAATTCGAAACTCAGTAATTTGAGAATTGGAATGCTGTTTGTTACGAATCGGTAAAGCGATAGTAATTGCTCAATCTTGATTGTTATCCGGATTGATTTTTTTCGACAGAACGTAAACTCGATAGGTATAATCTCCTTCATCTCGAGGAGATCCGGTAAATAAATTTTTGGTAACTAAATCATTATAACTAACAGAAAAAGTTGGTATTGATTGAGGGCGAGACGACGAGTTGGAAAAATAAAGAAATCCGAATAACAAAAAAAGAAAAAAACCAAAAATAAAAATTCATTGCAATACAAAATTAGATTTGTTTTTCTCGTTTTTTTCTGTATTGGAAATCAAAGTTGATTTCTTTGTCATTCGAACCCATTATAAACAAAAAATATTTTTTTTCTTCAATTTATTATTTGAAAGTGAAAAAAATAATTGACTGACTTAGTTTATATTCAATTTTTTATTTTTTTTTATTTAAAAAAAAAATTAAATAAAGAATTTAAAACATCGAAAATAAGAAATTAGAAAAAAGAAAATATTAGCAACGATATTGAATTTCAAGTTGAATTAATTAAACAAAAAGAATACGGTATAGATAAAGTTTCAAATCTTTTATCACAATTTCAAAAAGAGATTCAAAAAGAATATTTAACTGTTGAAGATATTGAATTATTAAAAGAAAAATACTGAGAAGATATAGAAATAGTGGTTAACTCAACATTGAGATTAAGAAGTAAAAAAGAATTAATTAAAAATTTTTTACATACTTATGATGCCAGTAAAGATTTAGAAGAAAAATGAACTTGTTATGTAAAAAAATCTAGATCAAAAGCAATTGAAAAAATTATTGAAGAGGAAAATTTAGACAGGGAAAAAACAAAAGATCTAATGAAAAAAGCTTTTCGAGACGGCAAAATTAGAAAATCAATGATTCGCGAAACTTTGCCCAGAATGAGTCTCTTTGACGAAAATGATATCTATGGAAGAAAATTTTATCAAGTTCTTGAGAAATTAAATAGTTTTCTCGAAAAATTTTACGATATTAGTAATGGCAAATGATAAATAAATTCAATTCCATAAATAAAATTGATTCTTAAAATTTAGATCCAAATTAAAGGTATTTCGCATCGGAAACAAAAATAAAGTTGTCGAACTTTAGTACGAGTTAGCTGAATACATTACTGCACTTACACTTCTCGCCTATCAAACTCATGGTCTATAAGTTGTCTGGTATGGAAATCTCATCTGATGGCTGGCTTCGTACTTAGATGCTTTCAGTACTTATCCAATTAGTTCATAGCTACCCAGCGATGCTTCTGGCGAAACAACTGGTACACCAGCGGAACTAGCCTTTCGCTCCTCTCGTACTAGAAAGACCTCCACGCAAATTTCCCACGCCCACAGCAGATAGGGACCGGACTGTCTCACGACGTCCTGAACCCAGCTAACGTCCCGTTTTAATGGGCGAACAGCCCAACCCTTGGAACCAACTTCAGCTCCAGGATACGGCAAGCCGACATCGAGGTATCAAACCTCCTCGTCGATGTGAACTCTTGGAGGAGATGAACCTGTTATCCCCGGGGTAACTTTTATCCGTTGAGCGACAAGCAAAACACAATGCATTGCCGGATCACTAAGTCCTACTTTCGTACCTGCTCAACCTGTTAGTCTCGCAATCAAGCTCTCTTCTACCTTTACGCTCCGTGCATGATTTCCGACCATGCTGAGAGAACCATTGAGCGCCTCCGTTACCTTTTAGGAGGCGACCGCCCCAGTCAAACTACCCATCTGACACTGTTCCCTTGCGAGTAGCTAAGGGTAAGGGTTTCAATATCGCAAGAGTAGTATTCCACTAATGACTCCGAGAGCGCTGGCGCGCTCTCCTCACAGTCTCCTACTTATGCTGTACAAACGACACTAAAACTCAATATCAAAATATAGTAAAGCTCCACGGGGTCTTTTCGTCTAGCTGCGGGTAACTAGCATCGTCACTAGTAATAAGATTTCACCGAGTCCACATTTGAGACAGCATTCAGATCGTTATACCTTTCGTGCGGGTCAGAACTTACCTGACAAGGAATTTCGCTACCTTAGGACCGTTATATTTACAGCCGCCGTTCATTAGGGCTTCGGTTGTCAGCTATCAAACACGAAGTTTGAACACCAGCTTCCTTAACCTTCTAACACTGGGCAGGTATCAGCCCCTATACTGCGCATTACTGCTTGGCAGGGACTTGTGTTTTTGTTAAACAGTCGCCTGAATCGATTCTCTGCGACCTCCACGAGGGAGGTACCCCTTCTTGCGAACTTACGGGGTAATTTTGCCGAGTTCCTTAAATGTGGTTATCTCGCTTGCCTGAAAATTCTCTTTCTGATCACGTGTGTTCGTTGTCGGTACAGGCGAATTACTTATTTAAATTGCTAGAAGCTTTTCTTGAAAGCATGGCGTCATGAACTTCGTTACTTACTCGAAAGTGTTCACTATCTTTTACTCTTCAAGGTATATGAGAACGGATTTACCTATTCTCTCTTTTACGAGCTTAGACCAGCACAACCAGTCACTGGCATTCATTAGCCTTCTCTGTCACTCCATCGCTAAATAATTCGGTATCGGAATTTCAACCGATTGGCCATCCACTACATCTTTCGATCTCGCGTTAGGACCTGACTCACCTTAGGAGGACGAACCTAGCCTAAGAAACCTTAATCATTCGGCAGGAGAGATTCTCACTCTCCATCGTTACTCACGCCGGCATTCTCACTTCGCATTTCTCCACCGCTTTTTTCAAAACGACTTCAGGGACATGCGAACGCTCTTCTACCGCTCTCTTCAAAAGAAGAGAGCTCATAGCTTCGGTACAATGCTTAGCCCCGTTATATTTTCAACGCAAAACTCCTTGACTGGTGAGCTGTTACGCACTCTTTCAATGAATGGCTGCTTCTAAGCCAACATTCCAGCTGTTTAGGGAGTTTCACAACTTTTTCCACTGAGCATTGATTTAGGGACCTTAGCTGATGATCTGGGTTGTTCCCCTTTTGTCAATGAACTTATCACCCACTGACTGACTGCCAAGTATGACCAATTGGAATTCAAAGTTTAATTGCATGAGGTATTCCTGGGAAGAAACCCCCAATGCATTCAGAGCTCTACCGCCAATTGGATAAGCTTGACGCTATTCCTAAAAATATTTCGAAGAGAACCAGCTATCTCCGTGTTCGATTGGCATTTCACCCCTTACCACAAGTCATCCAAACCCTTTAAAACGGATACTGGTTCGGTCCTCCAAATCGTGTTACCGATTCTTCAACCTGCTCATGGTAAGCTCACACGGTTTCGGGTCTACAACCTAAGACTAAAACGCTCTATTCAAACTCGCTTTCGCTACGACTCCGTTTATTCAACTTAATCTCGCCTTAAATCATAACTCGCCGGCTCATGCTGCAAAAGGCACGCTATCACACCATAATGGTGCTTTAACTTCTTGTATGCATGTAGTTTCAGGATACTATTTCACTCCCCTTGCGGGGTACTTTTCACCTTTCCCTCACGGTACTGGTCCACTATCGGTCATTAATTCGTATTTAGGCTTACGGGGTGTCCCCCGTGGATTCCGACAGAATTACACGTGTTCCGTCGTACTTAGGTGGTCTTTGGAAAGAGACTTCGTTTTCGAATACGAGACTATCACTCTCTCGGGTGTTATTTTCCAAAAACTTCTTCTAACGAGGTCTTTTGTAACTTTACAATCAAAAACTCCTTCAACCCTCCATCGTAAACGAGGAGTTTAGCCTGTTCCCGTTTCGCTCGCCGCTACTTAGGGAATCATTATTATTTTCTTTTCCTTCGGTTACTAAGATGTTTCAGTTCACCGAGTCTCGCTTTTTAAAAAATGAATTTTTAAAATATAGCTTGATTTGCATCAAATCTATGGGTTTCCCCATTCGGAAATTCCCGGATCAAAGTTTTGTTCCAACTCCCCGAGACTTTTCGCAGGTACTCACGTCCTTCATCGCCGATTAATGCCAAGGCATTCGCTACATGCACTTTGTAACTTTATTTTTATGTGAATTTTTCTTATTTGCTTGCGATTTACCGCTAATTACATTTGAATCTAAATTTCAAAAATCAATTGTCAATTTCTACTCTGAACAATTGCTCGTTCAAAACTAAACATAACGAAAAAAAAGCGAATATATCTTTCTTTTAAAAAAGAAAGGAATGATCCATCCCCACGTTCTCGTAGGGATACCTTGTTACGACTTAACCCCGATTATCCGTCTTGCCTTGGTTGATTCTCTCCGCAAAGCGGTTGAGGAATCAGCTTCCAGCACTACCAACTTTCGGGGTTTGACGGGCGGTGAGTACAAAACCCGAGAACGTATTCACCGTCACGTTGCTGATTGACGATTACTAGCGATTCCGCCTTCACGAAGTCGAGTTGCAGACTTCGATCCGAACTGAGATCACCTTTGCAGATTGGCTCTATCTCACGATATTGCATCTTTTTGTAGTGACCATTGTAACACGTGTGTAGCCCAAGGCGTAAGAGGCATACTGACTTGACGTTATCCTCACCTTCCTCTCGTTTAAACGAGCAGTCTCGTTAAAGTACTCAACTAAATGTTAGCAACTAACGACAAGGGTTGCGTTCGTTAGAGGACTTAACCTTACATCTCACGACACGAACTGACGACAGCCATGCACCATCTGTTTAGTGTTAACCTCAACTATATTTCTATAGCGTTGCACTAAATGTCAAGCCTTGGTAAGGTTCTTCGCGTTGCTTCGAATTAAACCACATGTTCCACCGCTTGTGCGGGTTCCCGTCTATTCCTTTGAGTTTTACACTTGCGTGCGTACTCCCCAGGCGGAGTGCTTAACGCGTTAGCTTCGATACTAATCAATAATTAACATCTAGCACTCATCGTTTACAGCTATGGACTACTCGGGTATCTAATCCGATTGGCTCCCCATGCTCTCATGCCTCAACGTCAGAAAAAGAATCGTTAGCTGCCTTCGCTCTTGGTGTTCCTTGATATCTCCACGCATTTCACCGCTCCACATCAAATTCCACTAACGTCTTCTTATCTCGAGAAAAGCAGTCTCAAAGGCGGAATGGAGTTGAGCTCCATGATTAAACCTTTGACTTGCAATTCCGTCTACGCATACTATACGCCCAATAAATCCGGATAACGCTCGCCACCTACGTATTACCGCGACTGCTGGCACGTAGTTAGTCATGACTTTCTAATAAGGTACCATCAAAACTAAAATCATTTCCTAAATTAGTCTGTTTTTTCCCTATCACAAATCTTTACAATTCGAAAACCTTCATCGATCACGCGGCATTGCTCCATCAGGCTTGCGCCCATTGTGAAAAATTCCTTACTGCTGCCTCCCGTAGGAGTCTGGGCCGTATCTCAATCCCAGTGTGGCCGGTCAACCTCTCAGTCCGGCTATCCATCATCGTCTTGGTAAGCCGTTACCTTACCAACTAACTAATGGACCGCATTCCCATCCTTTCGCGAAGCTTTAAGGGCTTCTTTTATACTTAAATCCGTGGAATTAAGCACATATTCGGTATTAGTCACCGTTTCCGGTAATTATTCCCAACAAAAGGGTAGGTTAAATACGTCTTACTCACCCGTTCGCCACTAAATTAGGTACAAGTACCTAATTCCGTTCGACTTGCATGTATTAGGCATGCCGCCAGCGTTAATCCTGAGCTAGGATCAAACTCTCAAATGAAATAAAACTTGTTTATCTCTGTGTTTTTTATTAACACCGCAATTTATTATTTATATAAAATTTCGCGTGTTATGCTTAGTTTTCAAAAATCAATTAATTCAATCTCGTAAATGTTTCTCAACATTACCCATAATATTATAACGAAAAAAAAGAGATAAAAATTATTTTTAAGAAAAAAAACGAGACAAATAAAATTTTATCGAACGGCTAAAATTTGAATTCAATAAGAATGTTTAAGCCCTTTAACGAGAACTTTATCTCCTTCACCGTGATTTAAAAGGGCTTGAGCTAAGGGAGAATTATTGGAAATAATTTTTTGTTCAATGTTCACATCATAAGTCGTTCCAATTTGGTATTCATGCATTGTTTGATCATCTAATTTTTTAAATCGCACTCATTTACCAATACGAGCCGCATCGCCAGTTCGACGATGAACTAATTTGTAATCATGAAGAATGTTGCTAATATCCGCAATACGCTTTTCAATCATGGCTTGTTTTTCTTTCGCCGCATCGTATTCCGCATTTTCCGATAAATCTCCTTGTTTTCGAGCCGCACTTAGTTCTTTCATAACTGACTTGCGATCAATATGAATGAGTTTGTTTAATTCTTTTTTTAAAGTCAAAACATTATCGGCGGTAAGAGTAATTTGAGAACTGACTTGATGTTTATTTTTCATAGTTTATAAGTGTTGTATATTTTACCAAGATTATTTCATTTTTTTATGAAAATTTACTTTTCTTGACGAACAAAATTGAGACATAGTAAAATAACAACAAATGTTTTTTTATTGAAATCGTTCCACGAAACAAAAAATGCAAATTTTGTTGCAAAAATTATCAAATGAATTAAGTGAAACAAGCAATATATGATTTTTTTGACGACGAACAATTAATTTAAACATCGGATGAATTTTTCGAGAAAGACAATATTTTTTTACTCTTCTACATTGTTTATTCTTACTTTTCAATGAGTTAAAAATAACCTCTTCAATTCAAATGAATTTAGGAAAAGCTTTTTTTTATAGTTTTTTTGAAAATTGTTCTCATCGAGAATTAAAAGTGAAAATTTTAAGTCGCCGAGTGCAGAGATTTTTTATTCAAAAAGAACAAAAACATATTCAAAATTTATTTATCAAACAACATTTGAAAATTCAAAAAAATAATCCGTGAATAAAAATTGGCAAGGAAAAAGATATTTGTTTTAAATATGCTGTCAATAGAAAATTATTTATATTAGGTAATTATTGTGCTTTAATTTTTAAGTCAGTCAAATATAAATTTAAACAAAAAGAATCAAAGAAATTAAAATTGGAAAGAGAAGCCTATCGTTTAGGATATGCATTATCCGGATATATATATGCACACTATCAAATTTGACAAAACAAACGCAAAAAAATTCTTCCTTGAAAAGAAAAATTTCAAAGACAAAAACGAAACGACTTGTTTTTTTTAAAGTTATTTTTTAGTAATTTTTTCACCAAACAATTAAAATTATTTTTTCCTCAAACTTTCAATCAAATCGTAAAAAATATTAATTGAACTATTGGATTATAAAATCTTATTTTTCATAGGTAAAAGTTTTTTTTAACAACAAACTATGATACGAATTTTTACCTAAAATAATATGATCCATTAACGGAACATTAATTTTTTTACCAATTTTCAAAATTTCCTGAGTTGTTTGTTGATCGGCGAGAGAAGGAGTAGGATTGCCCGATGGGTGATTATGGGCGCAAACAATTTTACGGGCATTATTAATTAAAGCGAGACGAAAAATATCCCGTAAATCAATAAGTATTTGTTGATTTGTGCCTTGGTATAATTGATGTTTTCCCAAAACTTCATTGTTTTTATCCAATAAGACTATATAAAAACGCTCATGTTCTAAATCCTCAAATTCATACGCTAACAAATCACAAATATGAGCAGGGGTTGAAATTTTTATTTTTTTTTGTTCGTTTTTTTGATTGCGAATTCTTCGTACTAATTCAAAAGTAGCTCTTAATTCTAAAAATTTTGCTTTTCCGATTCCGGGTAAATCTCTCAAATGATCGGTTTTAAATTCCATCAAACCACTTAATCCCCCCATTTTTTCCAATAATTTTTCAGCAATGACTAAAACCGAATGTTGAGCGGTTCCGGTTCGTAAAAAAATAGCAAGTAGTTCAATATCGCTAAGATTACGGAATCCATGAAGAACGGCTTTTTCTCGTGGTCGTTCACTTAACGGCAAGTTTTTAAAACTCATAAAATTTTTCCATAAACTTTTCTAATTCTAAACTAGAACTTTCGGTTCGATTGGAAGTGGTTGTCGAGGAAGAAGTAGGAATCGTTTTCGATTTAGGTTCCGGACGATCTTCTCAACTCGCTCTTCCGCGTTCGTTAATTGTTACCGAACCTCGTTCGGAAAAAGTGGAACGAATCAAGCCAATGGTAAACAAAATCATTCCTCAAATACTCAAAATTGTAGCAACGGCAATTCCACCGGTAATATGCTTTTCTTCGTTAGCCTTTAGTTTCACTCAATTTTTCATTATCAATATTTCCTTTCTATTTCTATAAAAAAAAATTAACACCAAAAGGGCGAAATCCTTTTTTTTGTTTTTTATTATTATTAATCGGGATGTGTTAAAATTTATCTCAACATTTAATTAAATTTCAATCGTTAAAAAAAAAAAAAAAACGAAATGAAGATAAAGAATCAATTAAAGTGATTAGCTATTAAATAAAAAAATGATTTACAATCAAACATTTGATTTCGATAATAGTACGATTCGAATCGAAAAGGGAATAATTGCGCAACAAAGTGATGCTGCTTTTTTGGTTCAATGAAATCGCACGGTAATCTTAGTAACGGTGGGAGTTAGTGCAAAACCAAAAAGTGCCAATTTTTTGCCTTTGGTCGTTGATTTTCAGGAAAATCTTTATGCTCGTGGAAAAATTCCGGGTTCTTTTTTTCGGCGTGAGGGAAAACCATCTGATTTTTCTGTTCTTTCGGCGCGCATTATTGATCGTTCAATTCGAAATTTATTTCCTAAAAATTTTCGTCACGAAATTCAAGTAATTGCTCATCCTTTAAGCGTGGACCAATCAATCGATATTCGTGTAGTAGCGATGTTGGGTACATCGTTGGCCTTAAATGCCAGCAGCCTTCCTTTTCCCAAAAAAATTGCCGGAGTAAATTTAGGTTACATTGACGAAAAAATTGTAATTAATCCGAGTAATCTTGAAATGCAGAATTCAAAACTCAATATGTTTTTAGCGGGTAATAAAGATGAGATTAGTATGATTGAAGTGGGAAGTCATGAAATAAGTGAAGAATTAATTATGAAAGCCATTCAAATCGGTCATGAAAAAATTAAACAATTAATTACTTTACAAGAAAAAGTTTTGGCGGATATTTCAATTCAAAAAATTGATTACGAGATGAAGAAAGACGAAACAACTATAAGCGAAGAAATTAATAAATTTTATGCGAATGAGCTACAAGAAATCATTGAAAATGCAAGTCATGAACAACGCAAACAAAAAGTGACTCTTTTAGAAAGTAAAATTCAACAAAAATACGAAACAGAAATTAATAATCCGGAAAATGAAGTTATTACCGAAGATAGTTTAAAAGAAAGTTTAAATAAAATTTTACAAAAAAAATTACGCACATACACTCTAAGTCATCAAAAAAGAATTGATGGACGAAAATTCAACGAATTACGAAAAATCGATTGCACAATTGATTACTTACCGATTGTTCACGGATCGGCTCTTTTTAGTCGCGGAGCGACACAAACTTTATCGACCGTGACACTGGGTCCACTATCGGACAAAAAATTAATTGATAATCTAACTCTGGAAAAAGAAAAAAAATTCTTACATCATTATAAGTCTCTGCCCTTTTCCATGGGAGAAGTTTTTATGCTTCGCGGAGTCTCGCGGCGAGAAGTAGGGCATGGATTTTTAGGAGAAAAAGCGCTGAAGCAAATTATGCCGAGAGTTGAAGAATTTCCTTATACCATTCGAATTATGTCGGAAGTTATGAGTTCCAATGGTTCAACCTCACAGGCGGCGATTTGTTCGGCTGTCTTAGCATTGAAAGCCGCGGGAGTTCCAATTAAAACCACAATTGCCGGCGTCGCAATGGGCTTAATAAAAGAAAATAAAGAATATCATTTATTGTCGGATATTCAAGCATGAGAAGATTTTTATGGAGATATGGATTTTAAAGTCTCCGGTAATGAAAAAGGCATTTTTTCCATTCAAATGGATTTAAAAATTTCCGGTTTACCCGTTAATATTATTGAAAAAATTTTACAACGAGCGAAAATCGATCGACTCAAAATTTTAGAGGTGATGAAACAAACAATTTCTCATCCAAGAAAAGAATTAGCCGAAGAAGCTCTAAAATTCAAAAAAATTCAAATTAATCCAGATGAGATCGGTTTACTTGTCGGACCGAACGGAAAAAACATTAAAAACATTATTTTGAAATGTGATAATGCTAATATTGAAATCGAGGATACGGGAGATGTGCTTATTTATCATCAAAATTGAGAAATGATTGAAAAAGCGGAACAATTAATTCTCGGTAACACCAAAGAACCTGAACTTCCAAAAATTGGAGATGTCTTTGATGGAGAGGTTGTGCGAATTGAAACCTATGGGGCTTTTGTCAAATTAAGCGATAAATTAACCGGACTAATTCATATTTCCAATTTAAGCAATGGATTTGTAAAAGACATTCACAAATTCGTAAAATTGAAGGATAAACTAAAAGTAGAAGTTATTAAAGTAAATGAAAAAAGGCAGATTAATTTAAAATTGCTAAAAAAATTATTTCATTAAGTTTTAATCAAAAATAGTTTTATTGAAAAAAAATGAAGATTAAAATATTTAGTCTCGGTGGATTAGATGAAATTGGCAAAAATTGTCTCGTGATTGAAATTGATGAAGAAATTTATATTTTTGACTGCGGTTTAAAATATCTTAATTACATTGACTTAGGCATTAATTCCGTAATTCCGGATTTTGCTTATTTAATAAAAAATCAGTCTCGGATTCGAGGATTAATGTTAAGCAAAGTAGAAATTGCCAAAGCTCATGGTCTGAGTTATTTATTAAAACAATTGCCGCAAATTCCGATTTTTTTAAGTCAAGCAAGTTTTGAAATTTTAAAAGATTCGCAACTTTTAACAAAAAAACAAATTCAACAAAATTTACATATTATTAAAGAAGAAAACATTCAATTTCCCAAACATCAAATTTGTACTTTTGATACGGCTTCAAATATGCCCGGAAGTTTGGGCTTTATTTTGCAAACTCAATGAGGAAATATTGTTTATACTGGTAGTATTGTTGTCAATTTACAATCTTCGAAAAAAATGTTTTCCACCAATTTAAAAGCTTTAGTGCAGGCAAAAAACAAAACTTTACTTTTAATTTCCAATATGGATCAAATTAAACGAAAAGGTTTTACCGTGCCGCATAATCAAATTCATCATATAGTAGAACAAGCCTACGAAAAAACTCAACAAAATTTGTATATTGGATGTTATGACAATGACTGATATAAAATTTACTCACTTATTCAGCATTTAAAAACTCATTTTACAAATACTCATTTTACTTTTATTGATAAAAAATTTGAGACTGTTTTTCGACGAGTAATCGCTCTTTTTGACTCTTCTTTTGCTTCGCTTTCTTTCGTCTCGAGTGAAAATGTAAAAAGAAGAGAAAATTCAAAAAATGTAATTATTTTTACTGGAAATCAGAGTTGACTGTTTTCCCGTATGCATCGTTTATTAAATCCAAAAGCTCAAACCTTAAACTTAACCAAAAAAGATTATGTTTTAATTTTAGGAGAGAATAAATTTAATACCGAATTATCAATTTATAATGTGCTCAATGAGCTCTATCACAGTGAGGCCAAAATTGAATTTATTGCCGAAACAAAAGTAGCGACAATGGAAGCCGCGGAAGAAGATTTAAAATTACTAGTAAATTTAATTCAACCACGTTATTTCATGCCTTTCAATGGATACTTCACCGATTTAGTTCATGGTCAAAAGTTAGTACAAAATACAGCCCCGGGAGTGGAAAAAAGTTTTGTTTTAGAAAACGGGCAAATTCTCGCTTACGAAAAAAATCATTTTCTAAAAAAAACAGAATTTGAACAAAGTCAAAGTGTGTTTGTTGATAATTTAAACAACAGTAATATTAGTAATAAAATTATTGATGAACGAAAACACTTATCGATTGAAGGTATTTTGTTTGTTGGTTTTGCCTATCAAAAAATGAATTCTCGCTGAATGCTAACATCAAGCATTAAGATTCAAACCATGGGGTTGACAAATGATTCGATCAAAAAAGAAAAAATACTAAATTTAATTCAACAAAAAATAGAGATTATATTTAAAAATAAACAATTAAACGGAGAATTAGACAATATTAAAAAATTAACACATTCCACCGTTCAAGAAACGATTTATCATGAATTAAGAAAAAAACCTTTCATTTTGCCAATGATTATTTGTGAATAGTGAAAAAAAAACTGAATATTGTTATCTTTCCAGGTTGCTTTGATCCCTTTCATCGCCAACATCTCAAAATTATTGAAGCTTTGGCGATGATGCCTGAATTCGATCGAATCTTAATCTTAATTAATCAAAATTCGGAAGAAAAAAAAATTCTCTTGCCTTTTTGAGATCGGCGAGAAATTATTTATCAAAATCTCAAAAAAACGACATCTAAGATCGTAGTGCATAATGAGCCAATTGGTTTTTACACGACAGAAGTAGTGGCGAAATTAAAAACTCAATATCCGGAATGAAATTTTACTTTAGCTCTCGGAAGCGATCAATTAAATTCTCTTGATAAATGAAAAAAAGCCGAAAATTTAACTAATTTAGTGTCTTTTATCGGCATTGAACGAAAAAATTACTTATTGCGACCGAAAATTGTTCAAAAATTTAAAGTGAAAATTCTCAAAAATTTAACGATAAATAATATAAATAGCACGGAAATTAAGCATGGTTATAATTGAAAAAATTTAACTCAAATTACACGTAATTATTTATTTCACACACGCTTGTTTGTTCATTTAACTCTGGCTCATAATGTTTCAAAAAAAAGAGAATTACACAGTTTTCGAGTGGCTCAATTGGCTTATAAAATAGCCAATTTTTATCAAATTCGAACAAATAAAAGAAATTTATATTTAATTTGTTTATTACACGACTTAACAAAAGAATGAAATAAAAATCAACATTTGCAATTTTGAAAGAAACACAATCGATCGACTCAGTGATTGAAACAACAACCGTTTGCCACTTGACATGGTCTTACGGCGGGAATTTATATTGAAAAAGAATTATGTTTAAAAAATAAAAAAATGATTCAGGCAATTGAAGAACACACCACCGCAAATGCACAAATGACGGAAATGAGTCGAATTCTTTTTATCGCGGATAAATTAGAAAAAGAAAAACTCGATTCTCAAAGTCGTAAAATTTATATGCAACTGTTCACATCCGTTTCGTTAGACTGCATTTTCGCTCAAACTTTAAAAATGATTTATGAAAAATTAAAAACATCGCAAAAATCAATTACCGAAAAGATGGAGGCGGCGCGAAAGTTTTATTTAATTTAAAAAATTTAATGGCGACAACACCAGGAATTGAACCCAGATTTACTGGTTTGGAGCCAGTTGTTTTGCCGTTAAACTATGTTGTCTTGTTTTTATTTTAATCTAATCCGAAGCGGAAGTCGAACTTACTAAAGTTTGCCGGTCCAGTAAGTGAAAATTTTTGATTACAAAATTATCTTCATTATCTTGTTCCATAAGACGAACAGAAACAAAACGATGATTGAGATAATATTTAAAGGAAATTTTTAAATTTAAAAAATTTAAATAGGGAGCAATCATTCGTAAAAATAAAAATTGAAATTTTGCTGGTTCAATGTAAAAATAACTTATGTTTGGCGCTTCATTATACGGAGAAAAATAACCTACTTTTCAACTAATACTTTTCTCTAATGTTTTTAAATTCAAATTATTTAAAACTTGTTGCATTATTTGATGAGAAACGATGTTGGGAATTGGAATTGGTTCGGTTTCGCTTAAATTGTTTTCCGTTATCTGTTCTTCATTGGGTGAATTTGATACTGATGAGGTTTCCGAAGATAGGGTTAATTCAAAATGATAAGAAAATCAAACTCAATAACCAAAGCCAATAAAATAAAGTCAAATAATGAATAATAGTCCAAAAGAAAAAATTTTAATTTTCATTTTCCGCTCAAATAGTGACTGCTTTTTTTTCGATCGGTGCAGCACGATTTAATTCCAAAAATATTTCTCTTAAATGCTCCAGAGAAACCAGCCAAACAACCGAATATACAATATATTGATAATCATTGTTCTGAGCTTCGATCAAAATTAATCGATCGCGAAAAAATAAATTTCGAAAAGTGATCTCTTGTTGTAAATTAATATCATAATGATTAATTGCGGAAATATTAAAGCGAGAAAATAATGAAAAAAGAAAATAAAAATCAGCATAACTTCCCAAATGCGAATCTTCTATAAGGGGATCAATAACCAATGAATTTGTTAAAGTATCTCATTTTGTTTTATCTAAAATTGATAATTCATATTCCGGTTGATAATTATAAAAATATATAAAACGATTAAAACCGATTTGTCGAACATTCGCATCGGCCGAAAAATTTTGACGTTTTAAAGCTATTTTGTTTCGTAAAATAAGCGAAGAATCGGAAGGTCCGGTTCATTGAGTTTCGGAATTTGAGAAGGATAAGGGGGATCAATTAGAAATTAAATTTAAATCGGCTTCCAATAATTCAATCGGAAAAGATTTAAATAATCAGGTAAGTTTTAAATAGGGTGCATCGAAAAATTTGACTTTGATTCTTCACAAACGTTTAAACGAACTATGATTGTCATAACTGCTCAAAAGTAAATTATTGAATGTGAGAGTTTCCGTTGCGAAATTTTCAAAAACAGCTCGACCTTGTGGTTGATTTATATAAAAATTAAATAAAAAGGGAGTTGATAATTGAAAATTTTGATTTGTAATTTTTTTTGTTAAAGAAATAGAAGATGGTAAAGTAATTTTTAATTCTAAAGCATTTGCTTCCGTGGTGAAATCATTATTCGAATTAAAATTCGGATGTCATCAAATACGAATCGTGTTTTGTTCGTTTTCTTGAAAACATGAACGATCAAAAACAACGGGAGAATTACGATAATAACGTAAATAAGCAAAACGACGTTCAAACTCTAGCTCATCGGGCGGTATCTCCTGTTCTTGATTAATATCAAAATTATAATTTAAATATGAATTACTTGTTAATTCTGTGTATTGTTCGCTATTTTCATCTAAAACCGCACAACCCTCACGAAAGTTATTGTTTACTACAAAACCTCAACGTAAATTGTGTTGATTTCAAAAACGCTTTAATTCTGTTGTTTGATAAACAACTTGACGACTACTGTCAAAATAACGATAGCGCAGAGCAAAAAATAATTTAACTTTTTTTTCGCCCGTTGCGGTTTGATGAGGAAAAAAAGAAATTAATCCGCGAGGATGAATAATAAATTTCTTAATATTTAAGGGTTTTAACGGACGAACATCCGTAATCGGCATACTTCCTTCTCAACGGGCTTCAAGTTGATAATTGGAAGTAACAACATCAAAAGATGGATTGACAATAAACATATTGGATTAGATAAAAATAAATTAACCCAAAAGTTTGTTTTTTCTTTTTTTTTAATAACTTCGCCCGAAAAATGCCTGATATGAGGCTGATTGATGACAATGAAAACAAACAGCCGTTTTTTTTAACGAAAATAAAACTCGAGAAGTGGTTTGTGTTTCTTGTTGAATTTTATTTTCACATTCAATATTGCCACAAAAATTTACTAAATAAGCTTGATTTTTTTGCGGAATGGATAGATAATTTTGATAATTGCGAACTTTAATTTCTTTCGCTTTCATTTGCTTCAGCGCTCGTTCTTTCATTTGCTGTTCTAAATTTTTAAAAATATTTCCCAAATCCTTTGTCAAATGTTCAAAAAATAAGGTTTGGCGTTTTTGATTTAAACGAGTCACATAGGTAATACTTTGATTTTTCAATTCTTGTATTCCAATTTCCATGCGTAACGGAATTCCTCATTTTTCATATTCATTAATTCAATAACCGAGAGATTTTTTTTGATCTCCAAATTCAATTTTGAAACGATAGGATAAATTTTGTAAAATTTTTGTTACGAAATCTAAATATTTGTTTACTTTTAATTTTTGTTCCTTATTTTGAATAAACGGAATCAGTAAAACAATTTGATAATCAGCGATCGCCGGTGGCAAAACCAATCCTTTTGCATCGCGATGAGTCAGTAACGCACCGGCTAAAATACGAGTAGAAAGACCTCAGGAGGTTTGTTCCGGACAAACTCTTTCATTTTTTCGATTGAGATAAAATATGTCAAAAACTTTTGCGAATTTAGTTCCTAAATGATGTGCCGTAGCTAATTGTAAAAATTGTCCGTCGGGAAGCAAAGTTTCAAAACTATAAGTTAAACTCGCTCCGGCAAAACGCTCATTTATTGATTTTTCTCCAAAAATAGTTGGAATTAATAATTTATTCTCAATAAAATCATGATAAATATGAATAATTTTCTTGATAAAAGACAAGGCTAAAATTTTATTTTCATGAACAGTATGACCTTCTTGTCACAAAAATTCGGTTGTTCGTAAAAATGGATAAGTATTTTTTTCTCATCGCCAAACATTCGTTCACTGATTTAATAAAATGGGTAAATCTCGATATGATTGAAGATTTTTGCGAAAATAGTGAGAGAATAAAACTTCTGATGTTGGACGTAAAGTCATAATTTCATTTTCATTGAGTTTTTTATCTCCAATTTGAGTAATTTTCATTAGTTCGGGTGCAAATCCTTGGAAATTGTCCTTTTCTTTTTGAAATGCTGTTAACGGAATTAAAGCTGGAAATTGAACATTTTGAACCCTCAACTTTTTAAACTCTCAATTTAAATGAGTTTGTACTGCTTCTCAAAGAGCAAAACTACGAGGAGTGAATAAAATTGTGCCTCGTGAAAGCCCATACATAAACATTTTTGTCGAATGTAATAAAGCATTAAAATTTTTGTTATTGTTTGTTTTCATTAAAAGGGAAAATTGGTTAAACTTCCGATAAGAGCTCGATTTTGAATATTCGAATGAGAGACAAAACCAAGAGAAAGTTTTATGGAGAGATTTAATTGTGTGTCAGTATGAATAAAAGTTATCGATTTTATTTTTTTCAAATCATCAATGTTCACTTCATTTTGAAGACTAGCAATAAATTTTTTTTCAATTATGGTTCGATTCGATGGTTTTAAAAGAGAAAAAAAAGTCGGCGAAGAAATTAATTGTTGTGGTAAATTGTTGAAAGCATTTTCAAAATAAACATATCCTTTGCACTGTCCTTCTAAAAAGTAATAAAAACGATTAAAAACGAGTCTTTGATATGATTTTTGCGATGTGTTTTCTCTTTTTGTGAACAATAATTGAAATATAAAGCAAAGAAAAATAAAAAAAATAGTTAAAGTAAGAAAAAACAAAATTAAAAACTCGGAATTCGTAATCATTTGTATATATTTTATCTGTTTAAATCAAAATTATATTTTATCTGTTTAATTCAAAATTAAAGAAAAGGAATCATAATGGAACACAATTTGATCAATCATAGATAAAAAAAGTTTTTGTTTTGCAGAGGGTCTTTTTTTAAAAGTTGAGAATATTGAAAATCGCTCGCGAAAATTTCTTTTTCACTTTGTTTCGCTAATTTACGGTCATAGATTAACAATGTTGTCTGATTATTTCAATAAAAAGAATTGAAATCCATGTTGGCGGTTCCGATTGTTAATCAGTCATCATCAATTAAATTCACTTTGGAATGCATATAGCCGTGATATTCATAAATTTTAACTCCTGCTTCAATCAATTTTTTATATGGTAAACGCATTACATCAGTACCAACTTTTGTGTCAAAAGTTTGCGTGACGATGCGGACATCAATGCCACTTCGCGCGGCATAAATTAAAGATTTGAGAAAAAATTTATCCACAAAAAAAAAGGGAGTAATAATTCAAATTCGTTTTTTCGCATAATTAAACAAATAAACAAGCAAATCTCTTAAAACCGTTTCTTCGACTCGTGGCCCATCATCAATAATTTGCACGACATTTTGAATTTTGTCTAATTTTTTTGAAAAAATCGGCGCTGAGCGATTTGGAGAAATTAAAATTTTATCTTTTTTTCGAATAAAACGACTGGAATACTCTCAATCTTTGAGAAAAACTAATTCAATACTATAAGTAGCCGCTCCGGTTAATCGTACATGGACATCTCTTCATTCACCGAATTGAGAAGACATATGACAGTATTCATCACCGATGTTATATCCGCCGGTATAAGCAATTTTTCCATCAATAATAATATCTTTTCGGTGATTTCGATAAAAAACGGTCGAATTCAAGGGATAACCACTACCAAACATGCGAAAAACCGCTCCGTATTTTCGTAAACGACGAACAAAACTTAACGAAGAGTTAAAAACAGTGCCAATGAAATCATAAATAATATGCACTTTAACGCCTTTTTTGAGTTTGTCCTGCAAAATCTCAAAAATAAAATCTAAACAATCTCCATTTCGAATTATGAAATAGTTAATATAAATATATTTTTTGGCTTCTCTTAAATCATTATGTAACTGTGTAAATTTATGAAAAGGATTGCTTAAAATTGTAAAGTTTGTATTTGTGTAAAGTGCATGTTGAGAAATTTGACAAG